ACACCGAATCTCCTGATTGGGGAGATCATTACTGCTATTATGACTCGACTTGCGTAGGAATTTTAAATTCCATCTGAATGTCAGTAATAACCCTCTTAGCAAATTATCCTGAATAAAATCACGAAGGCATTTTATATAATAGGTGTTGAATTACTGGATAGATTTGCTAATTAAATACTCTTTGTTCTGCTGCAGTTGACATTACAGGGTAAGATCTTGAACAATTATTCTCAACAGCTGTACTTTGTTAAGGGAAAAATTAACCACAAAGTTTATTTTTTTACACTTGAAGTTGGCAGATTTTTGAAATGTGCTTGAAAAAATTCCATCATCCAATTGGTAATGAGTAGATAAATATGCAGGTGTTGCTGTGAAATCAGATAACTGCAGACTGCCTTATTAATGAATTTAGCAAGGCTTTATAGCCCTGTTTTCTAGCTCTTGGCACTTATAAAATGATTTTTCTGTCAGAACAGGTAGCTGTAATATTAGGCTTGTCACTTTGAAGTGAGCTTATGAATGGTCATCTTATAATTACTGTACCTTGTGTCCAGTAGACCTTTCTGGATGCTTATGGCTATTTTTAAAAATGCATTTCTGCAATAGGGAAAATATCTGTAATGTATACACTTCTGATTGTTGGCTTCTAGAATATTCATGTAGGTTGAGTTTCTTAATAAAATAGTAGGACATAATAAAAAGAAAATGAACATATGGTACAGCTCTTGAGTAGTTCTTTTACTTGGAGCAAAATCTCAGAGCCTAATTTTCCTCATCTTTCAAATGGGCCTTATGGTCCTCCTGTTGACCCTTTAGGATTACTCATTCAGCATTCTACAGATGTTTATTAATAGCTCCCATGTACCAGGCCTTCTGCTTGATACTAAGAATTTGATGGTCTCCTGAGTGTCCCGTAGCTGAGTCCATCCCAGGGAGCAGTTTGAATTGAGGGCTGGGTCTGGGAGTAGCTTTGGTGTGGTCCTGCTCATCTGCACATGGGTGAGCATTGAACTGAAGAGAGCACTATAGTTCTTACCTGGAGAACTGCTGAAGAAAGAAGCAGGAGAGGGCAGAAGTTAGCCTGGTTATAGGTTGTTGACCGGAGCCACGGGAGACAGGAGACCAAACTCGAGCAGGATCAGCTCTCAAACTTTATTGCGTACAGCGAACCGGACCTAACAAGGTCCGCCACCCTCAACGTTGGTTCCTCTTCCGCCCGTTGGGGGCAGGAACAACCTCTTATAAGGGGAAGCAGTATCCAATCACAGAGAAGTGCGTCTAACAAGCTGATAGGCTAGCGTCACGGGTAACTGGGCAGATATGACAATTTGGCGGGCTTGTTCAGGCCGGGAAGAACCCGGAAGCAGGAAATGGGCGCCATCATAGGCGGCTTCCACAGGTTGTCTCAGCCTGTGACTTCCATTTGACAAATTGGGGTTGAGGACCCTTAAACCTGAGATAGCATCGCCGCCAGCTCCTGGTGCAGATCACTATAAAGATAGTGATTTAAACTACCCATAGAAATCAGTACAACCTATTAGAACAGCTGTCAGGCCTTTTAAAATATAACTTTTGACCCAGTGGATCTACATGTAGGAATTTATCTTATTACTAGCAGATTTATGAATTACATGTATATAAGGATTACTTGTTAAAGTATAGTCATAAAGATTAGAAACAACCCACATGATCGTTAGTAGAGCATTAGTTACATGTGTATTTTCATATAATGGAATATTATGCAATCGTTAAAAATAAAATAGCTATATATGGGTTTGGAATCATGTCTAAGATGAAAGTATCCAGAAAAGAAGTTCCAACGGTCTGTATTTTCCATTTGTCTCTATTAAGAAAAAATATATACAGAAAGACTTCTGTTACCAGAAGGAAAATTATTTTGGTAGCAGCCCTCAGATTGTGTGGGGAGTTGATTGTGAGTCGGAAGTGGCAGGTTAGAGTGGAGGTGGGTGATAGATCTGAAAGGTTCAGTTCACATTGAAGGCACACTCAGGGATGACTTAATTGGTTTGGCACATGTTGTGAAAGGAGTGGAATGAATTGGTTACTGAATATGCAGAGTTATAGTGAAAGTTTGACAAGTTGCTCCTGAGGTGTTTTACTTAGTAGTTTTCCTTATAGAGTTGTCCATTGTGATGAGGAAATCTAAGCCTTGCCAGATGGAAGGGCAGACTGTAGACAGAACTCTTGATAAGTAGTTCTGTCCTCACTATGATTAACTAGACTTGATTCAATCTCATTATTGCCCCTTTCCCAAAGGAATTGTCAGGTATTCTCCCACAATGCACGTCCCTGTAATTTAAATGTTAAAAAACGAAGATGAAGTGGAGGAGAGTGAATTTTTAAAAATAAGTTAACTGAGTTGTAGTGTCTAGTAGAAAAGCAGTTGGTATTACCCTAGGGCTTATCAGTGAGTTTGCACACAGGTTTTTGAATGCCTGTTTTATGTGGAGTCTGTAGTTACGCACAAACATGCATTTCTCACCTTTGGAAGCTTATGGTCTAGTTGGGAGGAGTGTAACAAACTGTCAACTAACAATACAGTGTTATTTGTTCGCTAGAACAGAGTAAGCACAGATCACAGTAGAGAGATCACTTTGAGCTGTGCCAGTCAGCTCAGCTTTATGAAAGAAGGGTTTGAATTGAGGTTTGTAGAATGCAGTCTTAGGGTGAGGGCTGGTGAAGAAATGCTATGTTGGGGACGTACCATCTGAAAAACGATATGAAAAGATGAGCCTATACACCTGTACACGGTAACTGTTGAAGGACTTATCCTGCCTCGCTAAAAGGGCTGTGTAAGGAAATAAGAGGCCATGCAGGTGGAGCAGTGGTTTGAGCGCAGTCACAGCATTGGACTTTTTCTTGTAGGCATTGGAAAGACATTGAAAACGTTTCAAAGGTTGATGATGATTCAGTGTAACTTGATGAAACTTAGTCAGTTAAGATACTGCTTTATGAGCTGGGGATTTAGCTCAATGGTGTAAGTGCCTGCTTGGCAAGCACAAAGTCAAGAGTTCAATCCCCAAAAACAAAACATAACAAGATACTTCTTTAGAGATGTCATTTGGTTAACATTCAGTGACAACATGGCCATGGAATCATTGCCTTCTGTGACCTGCCCTTCTCGGCATGTTCTCTTGTACCTTTATGCATGGCTCTTTCACAGTGATGGGAGCCCCTAATCCAGGCAGCCCTTGCAGTTTTTCTTCCTACTTCTCATTAGGAAGGAAAACCTTTTACAAAATCTTCCTAGAGGAAAATTTGCCTTGATTGTCCAGGATTGTGTTGTTGCATGCACATGCCTAAATTCATCACTGTTTCCAGAACAGAATTGCTATGATTACCGTTACTGTCATTGGCTGGCCTTCTTCTACCCAGCTTGCAAGAAAAATCACTAGAGAGTTTTACAGGAAAAAAATACATTGGGTCGGTTACTGTTTTTAGTTTCTTAAATATGCCCAGGTGATTCTATTGTGCAGCCAAAGGTAAAATCACTAGCTTGGCTTAATCAGAATTTATCACCATTCACCCACCTCAGGGTAGGGGAAGGGCAGAATCAGGAGATGCTTAGAAATGGAGTGAGCAGTAAAGATGGAAGCCATGGATAGATGTAAAGATGCTCCATATACAAGGTTTGCGTGATAATTGAGGATATGAAAGACAGAAATGATACCATAAAGTTTGAGCTTAGAAGATGAGGCCAACTGTTGAATTTTTATTTCACCCACTGAAAAAGTTACTTCTGTTTAGATCAATGCTCTGAAAGGTAGGTGATAGTGGAGAGATAGTAGTGAGGCATTGCCAAAGGCTCTGCTCTGGAGTCAGAGCCTTGAGTTATACCCTTGTGCCATTACTGGACAAACTAATGTATCTTTTGGCATGTAACAGATAGGGGTGCAATAGTAGCTTCCCCTTAGGGATCTCTTGAGTAAGATAAGAACATACGTGTTCATATTGAACTGGCACAAGATAATTATACCTGTTTTCAGGGACAGACTCATCTACAGTTATTATTCATAGATTTGCCTTCATTCACTGAATGACTTGTTTTGGTTTCTTTGTTTGTCTTTTTAAGATAGGGTTTCACTGTGCAGTTTGCTGTGAGTTCAGGGTTGGCCTTTAACTCACCTTGTAGCCCAGGTTGACCTCAAACTCCAGCAGTTCTCCTGCCTGAGCCTCCCTTGGGATTATAGGTGTGCACTAGCACTCCTGGCCATTCACTGACTGTTGAATCCTATTTTTTAATTGGGCACTTTGCTAGCTCTAGGCAATATAGTGGAGATCTACTTGGGCTTTCAAAAATCTAGTGGAATATGTGTATGTAATTTTTAAGTTTCTGAATATTGTAAGAATTTCCAGATTTAAAATGGTGTTGTTTCATTTTTAGCCATGAAATGCTATTTAAATATTAGTAATAGTAGTGAGTTTGCGTTTTTGCCATATTATAAAGGAAAATTTTATTATTTGTGTTCATTAAAGATACGTAGAGGGACTGGAGATATTGCTCAGTGGCACAATGCCTGCCTGGCAAGCACGAGTTCCTGAGTTTGATTCCCAGTGCCAACAACAAAAATTAAAACAATAAAGATACATAGAGCCAAGTACGGTGGTGCATGTCTGAATCCTAGTACTACGGGAGTCTTTTGAGCCCATCCTGGGTAATTTATCAAGACCCATTCTCAAAATGAAAAATAGCAAGTGGCCTGTGGATGTAGCTCAGTGCAAAATCACTGGATTCAATCTGCAATACAGGGGGCGAAAGGCAGAGATACAGATACATATCTCCTTCCAGACCTTTGGCTAAGAATTAGCATAGAAGCATACTTATTTTTGTATTATGTTGATACTGTTGTTCAGAGAGGGAAGCCTTTAAGAACTTTAAAGAAATACAGAAATGACAAATCACAGAATGACCTCTTTGTGCTTATGTTTATGTCTTCTTAGTTGTATAATGTATTAATCTTGACTTTTGTTTCATTTAGATTTTGATGCATACGAAAGAGATGGTACAGAAGGTAATGCTGAGCATTTCCATTATATAACAATTCTTAAATATCATACCTGGAGACGTTTTTCTATTCAAGGAAAATTGTAACCCAAACATACTGAAAATTGCTTCTTAGTATGCCTAGTTTACATTTATAATCCCTCCTAATGGATTAGAGCTTTTTTCTTATACCAACACTGATATGATCTAGCCGCTGCTTGAAGCCTATATGTGAGTGTTTCAGGCAAATTAGTAACAGTGCTAATTAGAGTTTATTTCCAGGCCTTTATACTGTATGTGCTCCAGTGTTGTTTGTTATGATTGATTTTTTTTGGCACTCTTCAAATTCTACTAAATACTATTTGAAACTGTTAAGAATTTAATATGGATTTGTGCCCCCTGAATTTTTAAAATCCATTATGTTTCAGCTCCATAAATTGCTGTGACCACTAAGCATGTGGTACAGTGGATAAATATAGACCCAATTTCCTAGCCTCTTATTCTCCTTCTCATTATTAAATTCCATATTTGGTTTCTGTCGAAACTAAACATAATTCTCTTCCATTCAACTCTGTTTTAAGAAGTTTTGGGAGGATTAATGTTGTGGTCTAATGTTTCTAGTTTACAGGGGTTTAATTTTTAATTACACACCCTGACAATACAGATAATAGTTAATATGAACTTTTGAAAAGTGGGTGGCACCTGTAATTTCTATAGTATGAAAACTCTTTAGTTTCATTGTGTATAATAGTCACTGTATTTTTGTTGTTGTTAATTTTTGTAATTTTGAATTTTCACCAGATGAATCTTGAAGTTATTTATGGAGATACAGATTCAATTATGATAAACACCAATAGCACCAATCTAGAAGAAGTATTTAAGTTGGGGAACAAGGTGAGATAGTTTAATGAAATTGTCTGTTTTATCTATTTTGTGAATTCTCTTTTTAACTAGAAACACCATAAACATATGTATATATACGCTTCTGAAAATATTGAAATGTTTAGCTCTGAATTGGTCATTTTTTTGCTTTGGTCTCCTTGTTTTAAGAGTAAAATTAGAAGGTAATTGTTTTTTGCTTAAGTGGTAGGTACATTTTGCCTTTGAAAATAGTGTTAAATGTTGTAACTTAAAATGTGGTCACCTTAGTACCCATCACATTGTCATTCACAGGAAAATACATTTTCAGTAGCATTCAAATATATTTTATGTGCAGGTATGACTAAGTACCTACCTACATATGTGCACATTCATATACGCTCATACATTTCTATGACTTTTATAGGATTACTTAAAATAAATTTGAAAAGACAAGGAGACATTTAGAAATAATCATTTGTAAACCAGGCTTGGTAGCACACGCCTGTGTAATCCCTATCCTCTGGGACTGAGGAAGAAGGATTACAAATTCAAGCTCAATTTGGGCAATTCAGTGAGACTGATTCTCAAAAAAGGTCTGTGAACGTAGTTCAGTGTGAAGGCCCTGGGTTTAATCCCCAGTACTCCAGGAACAGCAACAACAAAGAAATAATCATCTTTAGCCTCTTAATAGTAGCTCACAATTAGGTGTTTCTTGAGCACTTGCTATGTTAAGATACTGTCCTGACAAACTACAAATTAGCAACTTCCCATGTTTTTCTCTTGGTAACTATGGAATTTAAACTATTTTTCCCTTGAGAGCAGGCCTGACATATTGTAATTGAGCCTTATAAACCTTTTTTTGTCTTTTTGAGATAGGGTCTCACTACGCAGTTTAAGTTGGCCTTGAGCTCACTTTATAGCCCAGGCTGGTCTTGAACTCACAGTGATCATCCATCCTCCTGTGCTGGGGTTATAGGCCTGTGTCACCACACCTGGTTGAACATTCTCCTAGACTCTGTGCCCTGGCCTTGTCAGTAAAGAACAAAAGACTGTTCACTTGTTTTCTCAGCATGTGAATAGCTATTTGTGTGTATTTAAAATGCTAACAGACATTTTAAACATTATTTTAACAATGTTTTGTGTGTTTTTGCCCACATATTTATTGCACTAATTGCTAATTTAAGACAATAGTTTGAAGGCAAGTACACATGTATTGAGTCTTTTGATTCACAGAAGGCTTTCGTAATTTGATTTTGGGGGACCAATTCAGCCAGCCCTATCCTTTGTTTAGAGAGAAGGATATAATATTACATCAAGTTCCTGGCTTATGAACATTTGAGTTGCAAACTTTCACAGGTGTACTGTGTAAGACTCAAAAGTTGTTGGATTATGAACATTCTCCTACAGTGGAACTCTTTTGTGAGTTGGGAACTTACTATATTTTTCTTTGTTTTTGTGGTCCTAGGGATGAAACCTGTGCTAAGCAAGCACTCTACAACTGAGCTGTATCCGAACCCTTACTCTTAAAAGTAATTAGTTAATTTTTCTTTTAAGACAACGTTTCACTGAGTTGCCTAGGCTGAACTCAAACTTGTGATCTTCCTGCCTTAGCCTCCCGAGTAGTTAGGATTTATAGGTGTACTCCACCATACCAGCCTCTTTATTTTTTTTATCTGTTTTTGTTCCTTTGTCTTTTACTGTCTTCGCCTTGTGCCCAACATTGTATCATATTACATATAAACTGTGTTCTAATCTTTTATGACTTCAGATTCCTTTTAGGTTAATTCTTGGGAATATGTAGTGTATTTGTCTTTTTCCTGCTAGATTTTTGAGAAACTAGCCTTAATGTTTTAAATTTGCACAGGTAAAAAGTGAAGTGAATAAGTTATACAAACTGCTTGAAATAGACATTGACGGTGTTTTCAAGTCTCTACTGCTGCTGAAGAAAAAGAAGTATGCTGCTCTGGTTGTTGAGCCAGCTTCAGATGGGAATTATGTTACCAAACAGGAGCTGAAAGGATTAGATATAGTTAGAAGAGATTGGTGTGATCTTGCTAAAGACACTGGCAAGTGAGTTCAGCTTTCATTTTGCTTTTGTTTGTCTTTTAAAAATATTGTGTTGATGTGGAGAATTCCTGTGAGACTGACAAACAGAGAGATAAAACTTCATTTTGTCATTGTTATTATTGTTGCATATTAACAGTTCTTATTTGGAATGGATTTTTACACTTTGATTAAATGCTAGAAAAAAATCAAAGTTTCTAGATATGAAATGCTTACTGTAAGATACATCTTCAGAATTGTGACTTATCATGGGGTAAACCTTCACACTTAGATCGTTACAGAGTTAGTTTTGTTGATGTTGGTTTGTTTTAATTCTCCTATTAGATGTTTTTTGTTTGTTTTGTGCTCCTAGATCTTATTAGAGTCTATTACGAACACAATTGTTAAGTTATTCCCCCATGTTATGGCTTACAGTGTTCTGAGATTCAAAGTGATCCATAGAGTGAGACTTTGTTCCATCATATTGTTTGTGTGTAAAACAATCGTACTGATAGCAGATTAAGAGCTAGTTCTCAATATTATGTATGTCTCAGAAATAACAAATGTCATGACTGACCCTCTGGCTTTTCATCTGAGACTGAAGATAGTGATAAGACTTTTTGGGGTCATGTTAATATATAAAGTACCTATTTAAAAAATGAATCATTAGGTACTTTACCATCTTTCAAACACTATTTTGTGAACTGAATCAATTCTAAAAACGTAATTTTTTTCTTTAAAGCTAGATTTAAGACTAATTTTAATTTTGCTAAACATCAGCATTTTTTAACTTATTTTCCCATATTCTACTGCTTTCAAGTTGGGAGATTGAGCAATTGTTGCTTTCTGCAAAATTGTTCTTGATTAGGCAGAGTTGATCATCCGAGTATAGGTCACTGTTAGCCTTTTATGAAATGTAGTTTGCAATGCTTCATTGCCCCCAAATGTACCCAAAGATGAAACTATTTTGTATAGACTGTCGATTAGAGTGTTCTTCAGCTTTGTGTTTTCTAAGAAAAAGATGCATCATAATAGAAGTAAATTTCTCTGAGTTAGAAATGTATTAGTAATTAAAGCTATACAAATGTTTTTGTCAGGGTTCTTTTCTGACAAATTATAATGCAGCTGTCAAACTCTTGCTCTGCATTTTGTCTGAAATGGATAAAATATTGGCTTCCTTTTTCTTTTCGCTTTGGGTTTGGTAGAATAATACAGTGTTTTTGAAGGAAAGCATAAGGTTGGAGAACACTGAACAATTTATAATGAAGCTGAAGAAAAGTTTGAAATGTTGAATTTTTAAATAATTTACATAATGAGCTTCATATTTCTACTTACTTAGCTAATGGTCATCTCACATGGAAGCATTATGTAGATGATACCAGAGATCATATGTTGGTACCTTATGAGAAAAGTAAAATACTGTCTTGTAAAATTTTAACCTAATCGGTAGAATATAACTGCTTGTGAACTTTGTTGTTGCATAAAAATATGATGGAACACATTTTTATCCATTACATTATGTATAAAGCATTAGCTGGCACGTAAATAAATGCTCTTTATCTAAAAGCAAACCTGAATTTCCAAGGTTGATAAACCTTTGGTGCAGTTAGTATAAAAAAAACAAATGATTTTGGACATTAACCTTCATATTAGTTCTTATATAGCTCTTGTCTACATATTAATCTAATGACACCTATCTTTTCTCTCCTTTGTTAATAAAATATGTTTGAAATCTCTTTTCTCCCCCTCTTTTTTTTTGCAGCTTTGTCATTGGCCAGATCCTTTCTGATCAAAATAGAGACACTATAGTGGAAAACATTCAGAAGAGGTTAATAGAAATTGGAGAAAATGTGCTAAATGGTAGTGTCCCAGTGAGCCAGTTTGAAATTAACAAGGTAAATGTAGCATTTATTGCTGAGCCCAGCTGCTGTCATGTGTTTTTCTCCTCCTTCAGATAGTTGAAGAACCACCTTATCCTTGCAATTTAGATAAACTCTAGCTGGTGATAAAAGCTGCTTAACAACTATCTCACAGATTGAGCATTAGCATACCTCTTCCAGCCACAGGTACTGTCAGGTCTGCCACAGAGGCCTTATCTTGTTTTCTTACTTTAATCCTTAAAAGCCTAGTTTCCAGTGGTCAGGACTAATCCATATTATGTATCCAGAACTAATGAACACTGATTTCTTCATCATTCTCCCAAGTATCAGTTGTTTGGGGCAGAATGAGTATGTATATGTAACTTAACAGGTTAATCCTTAAAGGTACTATAATCAAAGGCGTTCAAGGACAAACTTATTCAGAAGTAAAATGGTGTTAAAATAGTGTTAACTTTCTGTGTATTCAAAGTACTTGTCCCTTTTTTTAAAAAAATGGTACTAGGGATTGAATTTAGGACCCTCACACTGAGCTAGGTCCTCAGTCCTTCTTTTTAATTTTTTTTTTTTAGATAAGGTCTTTCTAAATTGCTCTGGCTAGGTTTGAATTTGCAATCATTCTGCCTCAGCCTCCCAGACAGGTGGGATTATGGGTGTGTAACATCTTGCCTAGGTTTTTTTTTTAATGAAAAACTATATAAGTTATACCTTATAGATAGTCATAGTTAGAAATATATTTTTTCTTACCTAATCAAAAAATCAGAATTTTGATTTCCAAAATGCTGTTTAATAAGCAAGATGTTAAGATACTTTTCCATTCAGTCTCCTTACATATTCAAAAGCTAATTTGCAAACACCACTATATCTGTTTCATGATAGAATTCTTTGTCAAAGCTCATACCAAAAAATTTTAATGAAAAAAAATCTAATGATGACATTAAATGGCAGTTTTAGAATGAAAACTCATTCATAATACCCCCTATACTAAAGTAATGCTTGCCATTTTTGCCCATTTCCTCTCATGAAAACATTGTAATATTCTAGTAATTACAATGTATATTACTTAGAAAACTGTTTTCACCTAAAATAAATGTATTTTCCACATTTCTGTATTATCTTAAAAATTAAGTATCAACTAGCATTGTGGTGTATGCCTGTAATTCCATCACTTGGGAGGCTGAGGCAGGAGGATCACTGTAAGGTTCAGGTTAGCCTGGGCTACATAATGAATTCAGGTTCACACAGTGAGACCATGTCTCAAAAAAATTTTAAGTCAATCACCTGTTTTGTTGATATATATTTAAAATTTATATTTGTTGATTATTAAATTATTCTGTTGTGGGGGCTGGGGATTTAGCTCAGTGGCATAAGCGCCTGCCTTGCAAGCAGGCAGTCGTGAGTTCAATCCCTGGTACCGATAAAAACGAAAAAGACCAAAAAAAAAATTAAAAAAAAATTATTCTGTTGTAAGCAGCTGAGTCAAGGTCTTTGCTTACTTAGGTTTTTGCTTTTTGGATGAATTTTAGGCTCCTTAAGTAAAACATTTGAGTCAAAAGATAGAAATATCTGCATGGCTCTTGCAAAATAGCTTTGTAAAAGGGTGATACCAATTGATAGTAACAAAATGTGCCTGCCATCTTCATAATGCGTTGCTTATAGTGGCAGTGGTTTTTAAATAAACTTTACTACCATAATGGATACAAAACTGTATTTTACAGAAAGGTTTAATTTATATTTCTTTGATTTTTAGAGATAATATTTTCTGTGTATATTATGATTTCTGTTTATTTTTAGGTAATTTTTTTCTTTTTTTCCGGTACCAGGGATTGAACTCACAATCTTGGGCTTGCCAGCAAGTGCTTATGCTGCTGAGCTAAATCCCTAGCCCCTAGGTAATTTTTTTTTTTGAGACGGGTTTTTGCTATGCAGTTTGGGTTGGCCTTGAACTAACTTTTTAGCCCAGGCTGGCCTTGAACTTCACAGCAATCTTCCTGCCTCAGCCTCCTGAATGCTGGCATTTTTGCCCAGCTATTTCTTAACCATCATATCTTTAATGTCAAAAAAGTAGACATGTATACGTTACAAGGGGATATGTCCCTTTGGTGCTGGCTTTTCACTTTAAGGAATGCAGTATACATTGGCTTGGACTCAGTTGATCCATCGAAGAAGTGGTTTTCTTTGAGATTTTCTTTAATTTTTTAAACAATGAGGATTGAACTTTGGGCCTTTTGCTTAAGCCATATCCCTCCACCAACTTTGAGAGAATGTCTTGCTAGGTTGCTAAGGCTTTACTTGATTTTACCATCTTACTGCCTCAGCCTCCCATAATGCTAGAACTACAGAAGTATCTTATTATGCCCAGTAAGGTTTTGTTTTATTTCTTAACAAAATTTTCATAAGAATTATGATTTTAGTTTTATTAGTCAAATTTCACATTAGTTTTACATATTGTATACCTGAACCTGTCACCTTTCCTAGAACCTGATTGTCTTTCAAAAAGGGATCCAGTGAGTTTGAAAGTCTCAATCCAATCATGACTATATTATTGACAAAATAATACTGACCATGAATCTTCTAGGGTGGTGGGCCCACACTGTCACCTTATATTACTAGTGTGCAAGAAAAAAACCTAGAGTCATAGCCATACTGGGGTCTCTACCAGTATGACCTATAGTTTACATTGTTTTATTGCTTTTAAAGTTTTTATTATCAAAATTTCCAAAATTAGAGCTAATAATAGGAGTCTCTGTGTGTCCATCACTCAGCTTCAATAATAAGAGTTAACACTTTGTGCCTAGTGGGTTAGAAGTTGTGCATACCTTTTTTGGTAGCAGAACAGAAACAATAACTCATTGTCTTTATATTCTCCATGTACCCGTTAGCATAGTTGCCAGCAAAAAATAGTTATTGTGAGAAATGAAAGTATTTGTGTTGGTTGCTTAATCATTCAACAAATAAGTAGTACTTACTTGTACAGTTACAGGCTGTAGGATAAATTTAGTAACTAAGGCAATGATGATATATTTTCAGGATTCTAATGATCTCTTAAAGCTATTTACTGTCCCACAGTCTTATCTTTTTATAAAGAATTTCTAAAGTTTTGATATAAGTATAGTAAATTTTGATAGTATTATCTACATCATAGTTTTAGTTCTGCACCTGTTTATAGTAAACTATTCATATGTGAAAGTAGCTGGGTCCTTCTGATAGTCAACGTTTACCTGAATATTTGGGTTATTTAAAATTTGGGAGCAAGCCAAGCATGGTGGGCCACGCCTATAATCCCAGCAATCAGGAGGCTTAGGCAGGAGGATCATTGCGAGTTCCAGATGAGTGTAGGCTCGAGGCCAGCTGGAACTTTGTAGAGAGACCCTGTCTTAAAGTAACAAAAAAAACATTGGGAGCAATTTAGCCTTTATATTTTACTACTTTCCAAAGAGTGGAATACAATATCTGTGTGACTGGTTGTGCATGGTATCGTGGCAGAATGGTGTTTTATTTGCTTGTTTTATATATATTTGTTAATTTTTATTATTTTTTAGGTGGTACTAAGGCTTGAAAGTACAGGTTAGATTAGGTTAGAGTCCTATAAAGTAGTTGGATTACCTTTAGTAGAGATTTTAGCCCTTGTTTCCAAAAGCAACAGAAAAGCAGCATGTGTGATTTTTTTTTTTGAACTACTGCAGTCTTAGCTTAATTTTATTTTACATAGTAAGACAAAATACTTCACAATTGATTTTTGTAGCCCTGCCTAACTTCATCCTAAATTATCAAGAAGCAGTGTTTTTGGGTGAAGCCTACTAAATCTAGCATCTAAAATCCCCACATAGTCTCAATCTAATAATTGGGAAGTATGTCAGATGAAATTCAGAATTTCTTAATGTTGCATTGAACAGTCAATTGAAGAAGAAAATGGTTTTCTTGAGTAGAGTTATATTGATTAAAAAGTTCTAGTATTGCCCATCTAAATCAGTCAAGACTTAACTGTAATCTACATTGGAGAAGATTCAAATACTTGGAGAATTTTCTCAACACTCTTTTTATATTAGAGTACAAAATTTAGAAAATGTATCAATATGTGCAGCCATGTTTGAGGACCAGCTTTATTCTACAACAGCAGCTCTCAATTTCTTGGTCTCTGAATCCCTTTACACTCTTAAAATAGTTTAACACTCCTAGGGCGTTTGCTTGTTTGGTTTATGCTGATATTTAGTGTGTTAAAAATTAAAAGTAATTATTAATTTATTTAAAAGTAGCAATAAATATAAGATTGTAAAAATAACATTTTCCATGAAAAATAACTATATTGCAAAACAAAGAAATTAGCCAGTGAATTGGCATCATTTTATAGTTTCGTAATTTCTTTAATGTCTACGTTAGTCAAAGGTGTATGGACTTTCATGGCAGCTTTTGCATCCAGTCTGTTATGATATGAGACTTTGAAGTAGTAGAAAAGTCAGTTTTACACAAATACTTAGAAAAAGGAGACGTATTTTAGTAGTTTTTTTTTTTCCTCAGAATCGTATGTTTATATTCTTCTTTGGTCCTACACCAAACTCTGATAAGTGGTATTTTCTTAAAGGTTATTTATAATGTGGATCTGACACTATAGCAATGAACAATTCCTCTCTTATGTTAAATTCTGTTGGTGTGTGTTGTATGTTGAAGGGATATTTTACCCATGTGAAGCTTTCATTGCATTATGAATTGGCCGTTTGTTGTGTTGTTTCCCTGAATTAAGTGCACCTTCCCAAATGGGCACATTTTATTGTATTATATCAGAAGTGTCTTTATTAGGAAGCCGTCAATCTCACAGAATTCTAAAATTCTTTATGTTTGAAAGCTTGAATTTTAATATTGACAGTATTCATCAGTTTTTTCCCTTAGAGTAGCGGGCTTGTTTTGTTCTTTTGAGAAATTATCTGCCAGATAACTATATTAGAATAGCGTAGTTTGTCCATTCTTTCAAGTAAAAATTTTATCCTCTGGGCATGTATGAATATGCCATTATCCTGAATGATTAAAATGCACTAATAAAAATGGTATTCACTAGAAAAGGTAGTTTAGCTTGCAACTCAAACTCTTACACAAGAGCTTTTTCTGGAGCAAACTTAGTTCTTCAGATATGCCTTGTGTTTCTTCCTAAGTAGACTAATACTCAAGGATTGAAAGCTTTAAAAATTATTAATTTTTACTGCTTCATCAAAGACATTCTTAAATGAATGTTTTGAAACCTTATGATAGAGAATAATACAACCATCAGTAGTTTGGTGCTGCAGTGCTAATTTATATTTATCGTGCACCAGCACTTTTACCCACCATTGCTTCTGTATCATCAGTGTAAATAATATTGTTATGAAAGTAGTTTTGAATTTGAAATCTTCTGCAAGGGTGTCAGGATCTCCCCGGTAACAGACCACACTTTAAGAATAGGTAAACCCATTAAGCAGTACCCTGTTCCCCATACTTCCTCTCTCTTGAAACTTACCCCTTACAGAGCCAGGTGGCACCTTCCTACCCTTCACACATGTTGAGTTCCAGCCCAGAAGATAATGTTTTTTCTTTACCCCTTTTTTCACTGTGTGAAACATTCATGTCCCTGTTACCTTTTCTTAAAATCTTGTTTTTCCTTCTAGTACCAGTTTAAGTTTCTATCTTGCATGATTTCTACTCTCAGATGGAAGTGATCTTTACCTCTTTAAATTCTTTCTGAAACATTTTGTTTATCTCTCCCTTTTGGCAATGCAATTTATTATAGAAGGATTCTTGCAGGGTAGTGCGGTAAGAAGGATGTCTTCTAGTAGCTGATGATTTAATACCAGTAACTGCATCTTATTCAGTAGTACTTTACAATATTTCAGTTATCAAATTATTGAAGAATAACTAAAATTCAGCAGATAGTCCATTGCTACTTAACACCACACCATATTCTGAGTGCTACGAGTAAAGTGTTGCACAAGGCTGATGTTATTCCTGCTCTCAAGTGGCTTACTTTCTACCATAAACTCATTCTGTCTCTGTAGAGGTTGACAGTAGGAGTAAATCCAGTGATTTCTGGTTCCCTTGGGATTTATATAGGCTAGAGGAGCCTGTGAGAAACAGATCATTAAGCTAGAGTAGCTGTTATTCACGAGTCCCAACTAATCATTTAACTCATTTAAGAGAATTGCATACATTTAGAGGAATTCTTAAGTCCGCATCCAACGCTGGATTTATAGTCTTTTTTTTATATTCAAATATTAATCAACATGGCCAACAAACTTATTTTTCTTTTTTAGAGAGGATCTTGTTATATAGTTCAGGCTGGCTTTGAACTCCATGTAGCCCCGGCTAAACTCACATTCAGTGTGATCCACCTGTGTCAGCCTCCTGAGTGCTGGAATTACAGATGTGTGCCACCACACCCAGCTTTATTTTATTTAGTTTTATTAAGGTTGCATCTGATTATATTAGTTACTAAACAAAGAACTGAAAAACCTTGAGGATGGACTGTTTAAAAGATTCTGTGCATGTGTTTCTCTATACACCTTCTGTCATTTTTATGTTTATGTGGTCAGTATGATTCTAGCAAGGATGTATTTAGTGTATATCTATGTGAAACGAGTTTTAATGTTTGGGGCTTTTTTGCTCCCTTTTTCTTTTTTCTCTTTTAGGCATTGACTAAAGATCCCCAGGATTACCCTGATAAAAAAAGCCTACCTCATGTACACGTTGCCCTCTGGATAAATTCTCAAGCAGGCAGGAAGGTGAAAGCTGGAGATACTGTGTCATATGTTATCTGTCAGGTAAAAGTATCACAATTTATAAGACTTGTACCATTTAAAAACCTAGCATAAAATACAGATCACCACAGTGTGTTACTTAGTAGTCTTCCAAATAATTGATACTACAAGGAGATTGTTTTGTCTGACTAGTTTTACAAAATTTAAAAACAGTCAGAGATACAACATGCTTTATGAGAAGTTCCATAAAGCATTTAATATAAATGTTTTGGTTCACTGAAATTATTTTGGTGAGACAGATTTAGAGCAGTAGCTACCATTTCAACCCTAAATTAACTCGAATGAAAATGTGTTATGGGCCTGGATTGTAGCTCACACATTGCCTGTATGGGTATGGCCCTGAGTTTAATCCTTAGCACCACATTTAATAAACAAAAGAAAGAAATATGTGTAAGTCCTGCAGTAGATATTTAGCACTTTTTTAAAAAAATTGATACCGATGATCGAACTCAGGACCATGCCCATGCCACTTGCAGGGCAGGTGCTTATGCCACTGAGCTAAAATCCCCAGCCCTGTAGCATTCTTTTTTGCAGCACTTTTTGCATTGTATCACTAAAATAATGAGAGAATAGGTATATTGTTTTTCTAGCCAGTGTCAGAATAATTACTTGAAAACTGCGAGATGCCTGATTATATGGAAAAAGTTGATAGGTTCTAATGACATACTTTATGAGCAAAACAAAGCATCAGTTTCCTTTCCCTCCTTCTGTCCTTTCTTCCTTCCCTTCTTTTTCCTTCCCCATATCCTTCCACATTCGTTCCTTCTCTTGATGGAGAGGGTCAACTTGCTTGCCTTCTTATTTCATGAAGCACCTCCAAGGAATTACTAGGCCTTTTGGAACACATTGGAAACTGCTTACCAATTTCTTTTGAGAGTAGCATGCAAACATGGGTAAGGAAGAGAGGTAGGATAGAGGAGCATTTATTTTCTTTGAAAGCACTTGACTCCAGTTGGAACAAAGAAGAGCTCTTGTCCCTACTTTCTGTCAAAAGTCAGTTATTAACCTCTATCCAGATTCTTTTAAATTACTATCGCATAGCCTAACTGTCCCAAAACATAATTCTTCTGGACTTCTTTTATTAAGAGTTTTATCCTATTTTTATTGCATTGTGTTTGTATGGTGAAATTTACAGAACTCTTAAGATTCATTGTAACATGATTCATCTTTGTCACACTACAATCAATGCATTCTTAAAGCAAAGAGCCTTATCAAAATTTAAAAGTAGTGTGTTAATATCTGCTACATACTGTAGATGATGTACATAACAAATGATATAAGTACATAGACCAGAATCAGCACTTGACTCTGTCTCCCTCCTAGGGTTACTCTTGATTAAGAACTGTTAGAGAAAGTCAATTCCTGCAGGAAAATATTTCCATAAATGTCTGACTCACTCAAGCCCTTAATGTGCTTTGCATATTGTCTCTGATAAGTCTCATCTCAAAAAAAATAATTTTTATATTACGCAAATAAAGATTTCAGTAAATAAGTTTTTTTTTTTAAAATTGGGTCTTCATATACATGGAAAAGCTCTTATATTATTAATGACAGAAGCAGATTGTGGCATGCAACTTTGAAAAATTATTTAGGTTCAGTGAAATAGCATTTAATGATGAAATCAAGTCATAGTTATGTTTTGACTTAACCTAGAATGGAGGCATATGGTACCTTATAAAGTAGGTTCATTTATGGACTTAAAAGTCAAACTTATGCTCCTGCATAGCTAAATATCAGGTCTTAGGATTTCTTCTTGGTCTTACTGATATAGGCAGTCTCAAAATATTAATGCTAATATAGTATAATAAATATAATTTAATATATTTTTAGTATTTTTCCCATCACTGCTAATGGATTTTAACTCACTTTTAAAAATATAGTTGTTTATTAATACTTCTATTGTTTGATTGACTTTGCAGGTCTAAAGTCTGAGCATCTATTTAGAGAATAACAGTATGTAATATAGCAACTATGGGAGATTTTCTTCTGTCTTATTTTTGAAATTAAATATTGTTCTCACTGTTTTGTTTGGTTCCATTTTATTGTTTTGTTTTATTCCCTTTAAAATTAAAAAAAATATTTAATCATGAAAAAATAGTCAATTCTTTTAACTAATTTTCCATAGCATATCCTAAGAAAGGCTCAGCTCCCCAAGTGTCTTTTTAAAAAAATATTTTCATTCTAAAGATTCGATTTTAATTCACCATTAAAACTTACTAAACTCAACAAAAACCTACAGTTCTATGAATCAGTCAGATTTCATATGTTAAAAGACAGTCTGAATAGTGAGGTACATGAAGACTTAAGAATTTTTTTTCAAGGTTTTTCTCATCTTATTCTTGCCAACAGTTCAAGTTTCTAGGAAGGCACCAATTAAACTTGATTGATTCTGCACAGTTTGTTTTACTGTATTGTGAACTACTTGATAAAGTAATCAAAGTTGTAGGTTTTTTTGGTGGGGAGAGTTGGGTATCGAACTCAGGACCTTGTACTTGCCAGACAGGTGCTTATGCTGCTGAGCTAAATCCCCAGCCCAAATATTATTTTATTTGTTTACTTGATTTTTTTTTTGTACCGAGGATTGAACTCAGGACCTCGCACTTGCCAGGCAGGCGCTTGTGCCGCTGAGCTAAACCCCTGGTGAAAATTTTAAGATGTGAAATTTGGGGGCTGGGGATTTAGCTCAGCAGTGTAAACTTCTGCCTTGGAAGTGCACAGTCCTGACTGCGATCCCTGGTCCTAAAAAAAAAAAAAAGTAAAGTTTGGTTCCTTTTTCAGTATTTCATTCTGTCTTGAAACAGATAGAACCTAATTGATAAATGGGCCTAGTTTGTTTTGCTTAGGAGTCTAGCTAGAAAAGAGGCCTTTCTCTCTGACCTCTGGTAAAGACCGTGATGTGTAAAGTTGCTTTGGGCTGGGTGCTGAGCTGAGAAGGGATTGGTTTTAGCAGGAATGAAAGAATGGGATTCACTGTGTGTTTGTGATTGTTACATGTATTTTTGAGACAGGGTTTCACTATGCAGTTCAGCCTGGCCTTGAACTCACTTTGTAGCCCAGGCTGGCCTGGAATTTGTAGTGATCCTACCAGCTCAGACTCCTGAGTGCTGACTCAGACCCCTCAGACTCCACCACACCCTGCAGGATTCACATTATAATCAGTTATACAGAGTGGCTGAACATTGGTTACTGTTTAACTAGTCTGAATATTAAATTCTGTTGTTTTAGATGAGAAGAGTGGTGTGTGTTAGTTGTTGGTCTAATACTGTAATGACGCTTTAATTCACAGGTGATGGTGACATCCCTGCAGTGCTATGTGTGGGTCAATTATATAGAATTTCTTTCTTTGGGTTTTTTTTCCAATTTTTTTGGTACTGGAGATTGAACTCAAGGCTTTCTCACTGAGCTATATCCTCAGCCCTTTTTATTTTGAGACAGTATCTATTTAAATTGCTCAGTTTCTCCTCCCTCAATCAGCCAGAGTGCTGGTATAGTAGGCATCACCATACCAAGCAATTATTATCATTCCTTTCTAAATAGACTGTAACCAAGTCTTCTCAGTGTGCTTTTGTGATATGGCGAGTGGAATTGTTTAATCAGTCAGTGCCATCCTAACTTGTTTTATGCTTTGACAGAAAAAAAAGAATACAGCACATCCTAGATTGCTTTCTTGGATGGTTGAGATAGAGACTGAGGAGTTCTTGTTGCTCTTCCTATAAGATACATATGAAATGGTTGAAAGTTTGTCAAAAGATGTGTTGGTATTTGAGATATAATGTATATAATTCAAACTGTTGTTGCCATTCGATCAAGCCAGGGTATGTGATTTGCTCACACTTTGTCGTGTGTCATGTCTTTTTTCAGGATGGGTCAAACCTCAGCGCGAGTCAGAGAGCCTACGCACCTGAACAGCTGCAAAAACAGGACAATTTAACCATTGACACCCAGTACTACCTGGCCCAGCAAATCCACCCAGTTGTGGCTCGGATCTGTGAACCAATAGATGGAATTGATGCAGCCCTCATCGCAACATGGTTAGGTACGTGTTTCAAGTGCATATAGACCTTCAGAGGGACAGTGGTATACACAGTCCTCTTTTGATTGGTTGGATTCCTGTTCATGGCCACGGTATTAGGTCTGGTACTTCTTTGTTGATATTTTTAAGCATTTGTTTTTTTTATAGTTGTTTGGTTACTGTCTCCCCTCAGAGACTATGTGCTCCATATCTCTTCAGGTTTCCCATGATTCCCTTTGAGTATCTTTCTGTCATTTTAAATTTTTCTAAAACTTAACATACTGTTATTCTCTAGGAATTAACTAAATCCTGTTTTATCATCATCCTCCTGGATAGTGGCAGCCAATCCTGAGACTAGTGTCTTTTTGACTTTTTTGCAGTGTCACCCCTTTGCTGTGTCAGTATCACTCATCTTTTGCTTAGAAATATATTTTATAGCCATGTAACCAGATTACATTTCTAGACAACTAGCACATAGTTAACATTGTTTTTAAGGTCTTTTCTCTATTGTGTGATAAGGAAAGAAAAGAATTTGTAGGCACCTGTCTAATAAAGTTCTTAGATGGCACTTCACTGTCTGGAAGTCAAGTCCAGATGCCTGGCATTTTAGACTCTTTGACAATTTAGATGCCTGACATTTTAGAACTTTGACAATTCCAGACTGACCTTCTAGATCTAACCTGGATGTCTAGTCTTATTTCTTATTTAGTCTAGCCTGTGGTCCCTAAATAAGATATAGCTTATTCCTATCCTTGTTTCATGAAAAATTGTCATCCTCTTTTTCATTAATATGTTTGGTATAAGCCACAGAATGTGGTATCATAGGGACCTGGGTTTGAATGCCATTTCTGGTATTTCTAAATTTCCAAACCTTGGTCTACACGTTGAGTGATAAAATTGCTGAAGGAGAAACAAGATGTGTGTCAGCTTCCAGTGCCTGGTGCAGAAGGAATACTCTTGGAAGGGTGTTCTGGCCACCTCTTATGTGTCCCTATTGCATTAGTCCACAGATTAACACATAGGCAGCACTCAGTATGCAGAATTTTCCTTAGATGCTTGTCAAGTCACATATTTTCCATCCTGCCCCTGTTCAGTGTTGCTCAGCTCATCCCTGCGACCCCCATCCCCACTATCCCATCAGTGTCTGCTGTGGAAGTAGAAACTCATTTTTGACATTTGCCTAAGCAAAACATAATTAGGAAGATAAAATTCTGCTATCAAAATAATCATATAATATATTCTCCAAGTTGAGTTGTGTTTGATGATATTTATAAATCCTCAGCTGGGAGGAGGGGACTGTAAATGCATGATATATTTTAGCTTTTTCCCCCCTCTCCTATACATTAAGTGCTTACTCTACTGGATTCTCTGATAAGTATTTTGCATATCTTATCTCATTCAGTACCTGTGACAACCTCCTGAGCATACAGTTGTATAAACTCCATTTTGCAGAAAAGAAAACCAAGTCTTAGGTGATGATCTTGGTCTTGTCACATAGTTAATAAGTATTCAGCTGTGATTGGATTTTACCTGAGCTCTGTGTGGTTTTAAGGTTCTCCTCTTAGCCATTGTGCTAAATTTTATTGCTTCATGTTAGCATTAAATAGCATAGCTGAGAGTCTATGAAAGATATTTTCAACCTGGACTTCACATCTGTGAAGCATGAGGCACTTCATCTTTATGACTTGCTAGTCTCCCTGTGTACCTCTGTTCTCCCTGCTAAGACTCCTAGAAGAACTACTTTTTTACTGTAGATTTTCCAGTTTTCTTATTTGGGAAGTCCAGAACCTGATCTGAAGGCAAACTATTACCCATTCGCTTTGTTTTGAATCACTCAGTTGCCAGATACTAGAAGGAATAGATGGAAAAGCTTTGTCTCGTGAATGACGTTTAAAGAAAGGAAGCATGGAACACTGGATTTCAACGAAAGGACTGAACAGTGAAGGGTGATGGAGCCTTCATGGAGGGATAGATCTGGTGCAAGGACTGGTCATATTGAGAGGAGATCAGACTCCTCCAGTGGCCATAATCAAGACCATTGTTGTGTTTCTACCCCCAGTATTGGGTATTGAACCAGGGCCTTTGCGCTGAGCTATTTCCCTAGCTTCATTCATTCATTCATTCATTCATTCATTATTTTGACATTGTCTCTGTGCAGTGCCAAGTTGCATGAGCTGGGCTCAAATTTGGAATCCTCTTGCCTCAGCCTCCCAGAGTGCTGGGATTATAGGCATATGCTACCATTGCCCAACTCAATTTTGTTTATAAATTGAACAAGGAGCAAATTGGTTAGTGGGGGGCTGCTGTAGACCAAACCCTTGCACATGCTAAGTGCACGCTCTATGACTGACTTGTGCCCCAAGTCCCTGTGGTGGACAGTTTTTGACTTAAAACTTAACTTTATTATAGTTGTACTGCCTTATTAATTAATTTTAATCCAAATATTTTATAAATTATTTACAAAGCCAGTATTAAAATAATGGGTTCCATCTTTAGAGGATTCATCTTATATTTTATTATTCACTGATCTCACTCTAGAGGAACCCAGAAGACTTGCATGATTCCACCATGTGCCCATCTCCTCCATAATCAGAAAGCTATCTGGGTAAAGCGTGGCTGTATAGACACTATCCTGGGTCCCTTCTTGGGACCTTGTAACCAAGTCACACCAGTGCAAGGAAATGTGTCGTGAGGCATCAAGGAGCTACTTTGCTGCTCCTCTAAATATATTTACTCATTTCTGCCACTCAGTAGTAGTTTTTATACTGAAGTTGCTATTAATTGTCATCCTCCCATGCTCATCCTCTTCTCCCATCCTACCCCCTGCCAGCCCTTGTAGTGTATATCGGTATTCATCTACCCTAGTAATAAGTGTTTCAGCCCTTTATCTCTTCCCCTTATGCTTGTAAGATGCTTGGTAGTTAATGAAGTGCAGGCTTGGAAATGCTGGTTGCCATGAGGTTTTTTTATAAAACACTGATGCTCACCAGGCATAGCTCAGTAGGCATTTCCACTCTGCCCTAGTCAGGAGCTGAATTTTTATCTGTACCCTTTATACCTCCATTCCAAGTAAGAAATTAGGGTGGCTGTTCACTCTGGGCATTGAGACCCCATTATCAGTTCTCCTATGTCTTGTGGTTTTAGAGACAGGGAGGGAGGAGATGAGGAAGTGGTGGTGTAAAGTAAGGGGAGTATTAGGGGGTATGTGGTTTCTAAGAGGTGCAAGCTGTAGGCATAAAATTACTGTAATTTGTTTTAAAAATTCTAAATCTGTTTTCTTTATGTAAAAAAAACTGCAGTTAGTGAGCTGACACTGTTAAATAAGTTGAAGTGTACAAATGTATACATAAAATATAAGCCCTCCAGCTGCCTAATCACAGACATAAAATAATTCTCTTGCTTTTAATGTAGTTTTTATCTTTGATTAATGAAATGTATTATAGTGTTGAAACTTTAGTGAAGTTTGATACTTTGTCCTTTTAGCACAAAGAAATCAGGAATAATGGCATAATTTCATTTAGGAAAATTATTAAGTTCATGAGTTTTTATTTTTAAGACTCTTTTGTAGAGAGCAGCTATATTTTTCAACTACCTTTTCTTTTTCTATTGCTTTTATACTGCTTTCCTTGAAATGAAAGGCAAGCATCAAGTGTTGGTTTTATCTTGTGGCTTCACTTTGGAAATTTCTCTGTTTCTCCCTGTCAAGATACCACCTGAAGTTTGTCTGGTGGCATGTTACCTGGCCAGGTATTCCATATGGGGAGGCCATTTTAGTGAAAAGGGGAGAGGATCGTGTATTAAAGGAGCGAATGAATAAGTCTGTTGAGTTGAAAGAGAATAATTTGTTCTCCCTAATAACTAATGGTCCTCATTATCCCACTGTAAAATGTGTATCATTTTTCTGAAACCTATGCAAGATTATTGCTATTGGGCTTAAATAAAGCAAAATTTTACTCTTTTCCATCTGTGAATAGGAAAAAATATAGTATTACTCTTCTTATACAATAGCCCTATAGGAAACATGGCCACTAAAACTTGGAACTCTGAGCTTTTGTTCTCTAGACTATAGGTTTTTCTCTCTCTCTTTCTTGTTCTAATGAAAGCTCTCTATATTCTGTGGATGAAATATTCACAGTATGCTCAAACATCCAAATAGTCTTCTGTACCTAGCAAACAAGGCCAGTGATGACAATAGTATAAAGTTCATTCTTGAATTTCATTTTTTAATAAATTTATATTTTATGCATAACAGTACTTAGAATAGCGAGACTGTGTCTCAAAGACTAAAACAAAAAAGATTGTGTTGCTTGGGCTGATAATGTAGCTTAATGGTAGAGCACTTGCCTAGCATGTATAGGCTCTGAGTTCAGTCTTCACCTTGGTCGTGGTCAGGGTTGTGTTGCTTACAGAAAAATAGGTAGGAGATAATAAATGAAAAGATTCAATACAGTATTATTCAATACACAGATACTTAATCTATTATACACACACATACACATTTACATACATATATGAATAAGACAGGGTTGAAGTGGTAAATTGACTGATAAAAAACGTTAATAGTTATTTTATTAAAAATAACACAGTTTTTACAATTACTATTTCTAAAAAGGTGAGTGGTTAGGGACCTCAGGTCTTGCTGGTGTATCCCCCAATCCCAACCTATCAGCACAGCTGGAGAAGAGGGCTTTGTTATTAGAGAAGAAAATTTCTGTCTGCTTAGTATTACCTTATTTTCCAAATGTTTTTACAGCTAAAGTTACCTATCATCTTTTCTCAGGTTTAAAAATAGGAAAGGAGATACTTTTAAAGTTTTTGCTTCCCTAAGATGTATGTTGAGCATACTAATCTGAAATGCTCTAAAATCTGAAACCTTTTTCAAGCTGACATGGTGCCTCAAATGAAGAGTTCCACACTTGACCTTAGATGGTGGGTCAAAGTCAGCATATAGGCACACTAAAGATATTGCCTGTTTGTGTAAGTTATGTGTGAAATGCAGATGAGTTTCATGTTTAGACCTGGGT